ATATAGTCCAAAACAGTGGATAGTATAGCATGGAGCAATCAAAAATTATAGATATGTTGGAGACGTATCACTCCGCCGGAGGGGGCATCGATCACGGAGGGCTTCAACATCATCACCATAGCCCCTCCGATGAAGTGTGAGTAGTTTACCTCAGACCTACGGGTCCATAGTTATTAGCTAGATGGCTTTTTCTCTCTTTATGGATCTCAATACAATGTTCTCCCCCTCTCTTGTGGAGATCTATTCGATGTAATCTTCTTTTTGCGATGTGTTTGTTGAGACCGATGAATTGTGGGTTTATGATCAAATCTATATATGAACAATATTTGAATCTTCTCTGAATTATTTTATGTATGATTGGTTATCTTTGCAAGTCTCTTCGAATTATCATTTTGGTTTGGCCTACTAGATTGATCTTTCTTGCAATGGGAGAAGTGCTTAGCTTTGGTTCAATCTTGCGGTGTCCTTTCCCAGTGACAGTAGGGGCAGCAAAGCACGTATTGTATTGTTGCCATCGAGGATAACAAGATGGGGTTTTCATCATATTGCATGAGTTTATCCCTCTACATCATGTCATCTTGCTTAAGGCATTACTCTGTTTCTTCCCTTTGACCTTTTCTTGAAACTCGTGGTCTTGTTAACCATCAACACTTGATGTTTTTCTTGATTTCTACCTTCGTCGATTTCAGCATCACGAAGAGCTTGGGAATCGCTTCCGTTATCCCTTGCATATTATAGTTCATCACGAAGTTCTAGTAACTTGGTGATAGTGACTAGAGGACTTTGTCAATTACTATCTTATCTGGAAAATTAACTCCCACTTGATTCAAGCAATTGTAGTACTTAGACAATCTGAGCACATGCTCACTGGTTGAGCTATTCTCCTCCATCTTTGTAGGCAAAGTACTGTCAGAGGTCTCATACCTCTCGACACGGGCATGAGTATGAAATACCAATTTCATCTCTTGGAACATCTTATATGCTCCATGGCGTTCAAAACCTTTTGGAGTCCTGGTTCTAAGCCGTAAAGCATGGTGCACTAAACTATCAAGTAGTCATCATATCGAGCTTTTGTCAAAATGTTCATAACGTCTGCATCTGCTCCTGCAATAGTTCTATCACCTAGCGGTGCATCAAGGACATAATTCTTCTGTGCAGCAATGAGGATAAACCTCAGATCACGGACCAAGTCCGCATCATTCCTAGTATCATATTTCAACATATTTTTTCTCTAGGAACATAACAAAAATAAAACTGGGGAGCTAAACGCGAGCTATTGATCTACAACATAGATATGCTAATACTACCAGGACTAGGTTCATGATAAATTAAAGTTCAATTAATCATATTACTTAAGAACTCCCACTTAGATAGACATCCATCTAATCCTCTAAGTGATCACGTGATCCAAATCAACTAAACCATGTCCGATCATCACGTGAGATGGAGTAGTTTTCAATGGTGAACATCACTATGTTGATCATATCTACTATATGATTCACGCTCAACCTTTCGATCTCCAGTGTTTCGAGGCCATATCTGCATATACTAGGCTCGTCAAGTTTAACCTGAGTATTCTGCGTGTGCAAAACTGGCTTGCACCCGTCGTAGATGGACATAGAGCTTATCACACCCGATCATCACGTGGTGTCTGGGCACGACGAAATTTGGCAACGGTGCATACTCTGGGAGAACACTTTTTATCTTAAAATTTAGTGAGAGATCATCTTATAATGCTACCGTCAATCAAAGTAAGATAAGATGCATAAAAGATAAACATCACATGCAATCAATATAAGTGATATGATATTGGCCATCATCATCTTGTGCTTGTGATCTCCATCTCCGAAGCACTGTCATGATCACCATCGTCACCGGCGCGACACCTTGATCTCCATCGTAGCATCGTTGTCGTCTCGCCAATCTTATGCTTCTACGACTATCGCTACCGCTTAGTGATAAAGTAAAGCATTACAGGGCGATTGCATTGCATACAATAAAGCGACAACCATATGGCTCCTGCCAGTTGCCGATAACTCGGTTACAAAACATGATCATCTCATACAATAAAATTTAGCATCATGTCTTGACCATATCACATCACAACATGCCCTACAAAAACAAGTTAGACGTCCTCTACTTTGTTGTTGCAAGTTTTACGTGGCTGCTACGGGCTTAGCAAGAACCGTTCTTACCTACGCATCAAAACCACAATGATAGGTTGTCAAGTTGGTGCTGTTTTAACCTTCGCAAGGACCGGGAGTAGCGACACTCGGTTCAACTAAAGTTGAAGAAACTGACCCCCGCCAGCCACCTGTGTGCAAAGCACGTCGGTAGAACTAGTCTCGCGTAAGCGTACGCGTAATGTCGGTCCGAGCCGCTTCATCCAACAATACCGTCGAACCAAAGTATGACATGCTGGTAAGCAGTATGACTTATATCGCCCACAACTCACTTGTGTTCTACTCATGCATATGACATCTACGCGTAAAACCTGGCGCGGATGTCACTATTGGGGAACGTAGTAATTTCAAAAAAATTCCTATGCACACGCAAGATCATGGTGATGCATAGCAACGAGAGGGGAGAGTGTTGTCCATGTACCCTCGTAGACCGAAAGCGTAAGCGTTAGCACAACACGGTTGATGTAGTCGTACGTCTTCACGATCCGACCGATCAAGTACCGAACGTACAACACCTCCAAGTTCAGCACACGTTCAACCCGATGACGTCCCTCGAACTCCGATCCAGCCGAGTGTTGAGGGAGAGTTTCGTCAGCACGACGGCGTGGTGACGATGATGATGTTCTACCGACACAGGGCTTCGCCTAAGCACCGCTACGATATTATCGAGATGGACTATGGTGGAGGAGGGCACCGCACACGGCTAAAAGATCAATGATCAATTGTTGTGTCTATAGGGTGCCCCCCTGCTCCCGTATATAAAGGAGCAAGGGGGTGCGGCCGGCCAGGGAGGAGGCGCGCCAGGAGGAGTCCTACTCCCACCGGGAGTAGGACTCCCCCCTTTCCTAGTTGGATTAGGACTTGGGAGGGGGAAAGAGTGGAGGAGAAGAAGGAAGGGGGGGGGGGGCGCCGCCCCCCTCTCCTTGTCCTATTCGGACTGGGGAGGAGGGGCGCGCGGCCCAGCCCTAGCCGCCTCTCCTCTCTTCCACCTAGGCCCACTATGGCCCATTAAGTCCCCGGGGGGTTCCGGTAACCTCCCGGTTCTCCGGTAAAATCCCAATTTCACCCGGAACACTTTCGATATCCAAACATAGGCTTACAATATATCAATCTTCATGTCTCGACCATTTCGAGACTCCTCGTCATGTCCGTGATCACATCCGGGACTCCGAACAACCTTCGGTACATCAAAACATATAAACTCATAATATAACTGCCATCGAAACGTTAAGCGTGCGGACCCTACGGGTTCGAGAACTATATAGACATGACCGAGACACGTCTCCGGTCAATAACCAACAGCGGAACCTGGATGCTCATGTTGGCTCCCACATATTCTACAAAGATCTTTATCGGTCAAACCGCATAACAACATACGTTGTTCCCTTTGTCATCGGTATGTTACTTTTCCCGAGATTCGATCGTCGGTATCTCAATACCTAGTTCAATCTCATTACCGACAAGTCTCTTTACTCGTTCCGTAATACATCATCCCGCAACTAACTCATTAGTTGCAATGCTTGCAAGGCTTAAGTGATGTGCATTACCGAGAGGGCCCAGAGATACCTCTCCAACAATCGGAGTGACAAATCCTAATCTCGAAATACGCCAACCCAACAAGTATCTTTGGAGACACCTGTAGAGCACCTTTATAATCATCCAGTTACGTTGTGACGTTTGTAGCACACAAAGTGTTCCTCCGATAAACGGGAGTTGCATAATCATAGTCATAGGAACATGTATAAGTCATGAAGAAAGCAATAGCAGAATACTAAACGATCATGTGCTAAGCTAACGGAATGAGTCAGGTCAATCACATCATTCTACTAATGATGTGATCCCGTTAATCAAATGACAACTCATGTCTATGGCTAGGAAACATAACCATCTTTGATCAACGAGCTAGTCAAGTAGAGGCATACTAGTAACACTCTGTTTGTCTATGTATTCACACAAATATTATGTTTCCGGTTAATACAATTCTAGCATGAATAATAAACATTTATCATGAAATAAGAAAATAAATAATAACTTTATTATTGCCTCTAGGGCATATTTCCTTCAATAACAACTTTATTATTGCCTCTAGGGCATATTTCCTTCACTCTCTTGTGCAACTCTAATCACCAGGCTAAATTTTGTGTTTTGACCATTTCCTAAAACTTAATCAAAATCTGACCTTAGTCTGATTTTTTTTCAGGATCTAAACCTTTTGCTACCGCCAGGGTTTTATGGTGGTAGGATATAACAGCCTACTGCCAAGGCCCCTAGCGGTAGGGTTGGATGCCCTATCACAAATTCCTTCTAAGTATTGAACACAGTGCGTGTTCGTGTCTACCACCGAGCACCTTGGTGATATGGTTGTACCGCGAGTCTGTTCGGTGGTAAGAATGTTTCCTCCCACCAAGGTCCCTGTCGGTAGGCTGTTACACCCTACCGTCATGGACCCTGACGATAGGAAAAGGATCAGATCTCAATTTTTTTTCAAACTAGGGTCAGATCTCAATTAAGTTTCAGAAAAAGGTCAAAACACGAAATTTTACCTAATCACCACAACTATATCATCATTATCTCCTTTGTTGGTATCACCATCGAGCACCCGACACTAACACTCAAAGGAGATGCTTTTGTCTCATCTCGAGCGATGATCACCTCGGTCAATTAGCAGCGTAGGGCTTCAGTTTTCAAATTACAATCAAAAGAATGAAATATGTTTTTTTTTCTCTCAAGAAAAGTAAGACACCATCTTCTATTTCATGTACATGATTATTTTCTGGATAAGAGCGTCCCTGCATTCCTCCTTGTTCAGCGTAAGCCATGGCCTGGCAGCAATCACCCTCGCCGGCGGCGGCGAACTCATCGCCACCACCCGCTCCCACCACCGTAATCTCTCTCGACGAAGATCTCCTCCGCGAGATCTTCCTCCGCCTCCCCTCCCTCCCGAGCCTCGTCCGTGCCGCCCTCAGCTGCCGCACCTTCCTCGGCGCCGTCCGCTCGTCCCCCGCCTTCCGCCGCAGCTTCCGGGAGGCCCACCTGCCCCCTCTCCTCGGCCTCTTCTTCGACCCCGAAGTGCCCTCCATCCCCGCCTTCGCGCCCCTCCGCCGCCGCGCCGACCCTGACCTCGCGGCCGCCGTCCGCGGCGCCGATTTCTTCCTCACCCGCCTCCCCGCCGACGACGACACCTTCCCGGGGTGGGCCATAGAGGGCTGCTGCGACGGCAACGTCCTCCTCCAGAACTGCAGCCTGGAGCAGTTCGCCGTCTACAACCCCCTCGCGCGGGCCCTGGATCTCATCCCCGTGCCGCCCGACAAGATCTTCGACGGCGCCCGCGGCGACGCCAAGTACCTCGGATGCTACATCCTCTCCTCCGAAGAGGGCGGCGAGCCGCTGCGCCTGGTCTACACCTGCCATGACAAGTCGCGGGCGCGTGCCGCCGTCTTCTCGTCGGAGAGCAGGGAGTGGCAGATCTTCCCGTGGTCGGAGGCTGTGACGCCACTGCCTGAAGACCAGCACTGGCTTAAAGTTGGCACGTTGGTGAATGGGTTCGTCTACTGGATACACACAAATGAAGCCTACATCCTTGTGCTGAACACAGCGACACTACATTTCTCCCAGATGGATTTGCCGCCGACCTTGGTGGCGCGAGATCTCATATTCAGGGTTGGCGAGACCAAGGATGGGAAGCCTTGCATTGTCTGCCCAATTGATTTCGAGCTTTTTGTTTGGGTCCGGGGAGCCGAGGATGACGGCATCGAGAGATGGATATTTGACCAGAGGTTTCCGTTGGAGACGATTGTCGAGGTCACCGAGAGTACACTTGTGGAACATGGTGACCTGAAGGTTGTGGCCACTATTGGTGGATTTGTGTACTTCTCTACCATGGAAACTTTCCTTGATGGTCATAATCCTAGTTGGTTCATGTCTCTATGCATGGAGACAGGGGAGCTGGCCACGCTCTTTCAGAGGAGATTTGACGGCCATCCCCATCCCTACATCATGGCATGGCCTCCTTGCTTGATAGACAACCAGGTGCACCCTCAACTTGAAGGTGCTTGATGGAATGTGGACAAGGTATCATAACATTTCCTTCGTTTGGCCACTAGATGGTGTTGTCCAGTAGTGTTATCTTTAAGATGACAATGAAAAAGACATTCTATTTGAGAAACAAGCAAAACAGACTATATATATATATATATATATATATATATATATATATATATATATATATATATATATATATATTGTAGAATTTGCCAAATGCTTGCTTGTGTTTTTATGTGGCTGCATTTCTGAACTGGTTCACGTGTTGCATTCCTCCTCCTTTGAGACAGAGATTCCACTTTCTAATTGGCATGTTTGTCATTTTGGTTCGATAGTTCTGTTGTGTTGCCAGTTGCACTGAATTTGACACTGTTAATATGTAAATGCTTGTAAAAGGTTCTGCTTGTTATTTTTGTTTTTTTCCTAACCACTCCCTTGTTTTGTTTTCCTTCCCATACCTTATTTGAAATGGAATACCCATCCATCTACTTGAATACAGTATTCCATTGTGGGACTCTTCCCATGAAATATTTTACATTTGGAGCTCCTGTCGATGAGATTAAAATAAGAAATTCAGCTTAGGAACCCGCTAAGAATAAGGCAGAAATTAGGTTAGCTGGATAGCAAGGGATGATCTTGACTACTGGTGGTTGACTTGTTGTGGTTAGAGAGTTCTGCTTCGGTACACTCCCCCTTAAAAGTTTGCATAAATCTTAAAATTACTTAAAAGGGCTATCATCATATTAGTTTGCAGATCAAACGTATTGAATAGATTGATTTGGATACAAAAGACTATGTTATCCTTTTTCATTGAAAGGGTACCTTCTAATCTCCACCTTTAATCTGCACCGAAATCCTTAAACTTTTCTGGGGGTGTGTACTGAAGCAAAGTTCGTGGTTAAATCATTCCTTCGCAACATGCCTCTTTACGTGTAGGGGTTAGAAAGAGAATTGATTTTTTCAGAGCATAGTTTGCTAAGTTATGAATACCAACATATTAGGAGGTATCATTTTAGTAGGCTGGTATATATTTGTAGACCCAACAACAGAGGATCTCCCTGTAAATATTTGTAGACCCAATTGAGTTGGGGTAGCACCAATTGAGGAAAAGCTTGTTCAACATCGTTTGAGATGGTTTGGGCATATTCAGCGCAGGCCTCCAGAAGCTCCAGTGCATAGCGGACGGCTAAAGCGTGCGGAGAATGTCAAGAGAGGGCGGGGTCGACCGATTTTGACATGGGAGGAGTCCGTTAAGAGAGACCTGAAGGATTGGAGTATCGACAAAGAGCTAGCTATGGACAGGGGTGCGTGGAAGCTTGCTATCCATGTGCCAGAGCCATGAGTTGGTTGCGAGATCTTATGGGTTTCACCTCTAGCCTACCCCAACTTGCTTGGGACTAAAGGCTTTGTTGTTGTTGTTGTTGTTGTTGCAACAACAGAGGATCGCCCTGTAAAGTTAGGGGTTTTCGATCTTCAAACAATGAATAAGGTCTGACTAGCAATGTGGCTCTGTAAGCTTAGGACAGAGGATTGCTCTGGCAGAAAGTTTTATACTAGTATTAAACACAGAAATGGAGAGACTCAATTTTGGTCAGGTGGCCGTGATATCAAAGATTCAATTCTGTAAGCATTGGAGAAGAATTGTTGGGGACGAAACTAATACCAGATTCTTGAAGGGTTGGTGGCTGGATAGAGAACCTCTAATCTCTTTGTCTCTCCTTTCATACGCTATATAATATCTGTCTTAGTTTTGGTCTCTGTTTCTGAAGTACTAAATGAGGGGTGGGATGCCATGTTTCTAAACTAGGGCATATGATCAACAGCTGAAACAAAATCGGTCGTATGATCATATCCCTCCTCCTAACTTTCTAAGAGGATGGAAGGTTGAGATGCATTGTCAAATTTGTGTCGGAATGAAACCATTTTATCATTTATCTCTCTCCTGTTCACTTGCGAGGTTTGTGGGGAATAATCTGATGTGCTTTTAATCTGTACTATTTTTGCTGCACAAATTTAGAAACAAGAAATATTTCTAGCTACTGTTGGCATTGCATCGTGTTTTTTTTTTGAACGATATGGTGTTTTAGAAGTCAAGCTTGCTTCGAACAGAAGAGAATTTCTGATCCTTTCATGATTGATATATTCATATGGTAAGTCATTGGCTAAACTTGTGATTCTTGATGCAGACGGAAGTCAGAAAACTGAGAGGAGCCGAAGTGGGGGGTTAAAACCGTTTAGAGAAGCAGGAACCGAAGTCTTGAGGGCAACCGAAGATGGGAGGATCACTCATCAATTCCAGGGCCAACGCGAGGTTTACTGGAGGTCGTCTTGCGACCCAAATGCTCGTGTCCTTGGCTGGCAGTGTTGATTAGGTTTGCTGCTGCGTTTCACCCCAAACTGATTCAGAAAATGAGTGTATGTTGTGTGTTGTGCTGCCTTTCCCTTAGAGACATCACACTGCAGTTTACCCTATTATATATTCAACAGCAGTAATGTAATGGCCAGCATGAGTCGGAGGAAATTAAGCCTAAATGCTTACCATTTTCACTGCCCCTGTTCCAAAATATAAAGGCGGAAGAAACAATGTTTTCCCTTGTTTATTTGTGAACTCTTGGTGATGCTAGGAATGTCTGCGGATGCTAGAGCACCCTTCTTGTTACAAATGGAGTTTTATGTGGATGCTTTGTAGTCTGTACACCACAGCTATTACAAGATCAAAGTGGCTGCAGCAACTGCATACACTGTAACAAAGGAACATATACTCTCTCTTCTTCTTTTTTTGCGAGAAACAAGGAACATATCCAAGACTGTCCATCGCTATTCTTGTTTGACTGACCGGGAGAGCCTGGAAAACTATTGCTGGACAATCTGTACCGGGGAGCTGAGGATGATTGGTGGCAGAAAAAAAAAATCCGCTGGGTCAAACTATCCCCCCCACGTCCACTGGTCCACATGACGTGGGGAGGCGGAGCGCGACTGGATCAGCACAAGTATTTTCTATTCCCATATGTATTTGGATCAGATGCAGCGCCTGTGTACTACAAGTGCCACATCTCTCACCTCTGGCCTCTGGGAAAGTCCACGCCTGCTCCCTCTCATTGCTGCCTTCAGAAGTGAAGCGATCTGCGGCTGCATCGATCATTCCGCCGCCTGCACTACGTAGCACGGCTTGCCCAGGTAAGTACCAGAATTTTGCTCTTTTTCCATCGGTTACGTGCTATTGCAAAGCTATTCTAAGAGCAACTTTAATGAGTCGATCCATTTCGTCCGCCGCTGTCCGTTTGGATCGGCACAGACAGAAAAGTCGGCTCAACGCGTCGACCCAAATAGACGCGCGTCCGCTTTTTGTCTGTGGGCAACCCATTCTCGGCCTATTTTTGAGCCGGATTTGTGTCGGCGCGGACACGCAACGGACGAGCGCCCACTCGTCTTCTCCTCTCCTAGGGCCCGCTAATCGGTGGCTCATTGGCCTCCCCCACCCCCCAACCAACAGTAACCCTCGCCCACCTCCTTCGTCGCCGACACCGCCGCCCTTTTTTGCCGGCGACTCTGCCAGCTGCCGCCGCCTCCACATCCGCCCAGCAACGCCGCTCACTCCTTCCGTCGTCCCGCCACCATCATCTTGCCGCCGGGGAGCAAACTGTTTCCCACCGCCGCTCCCCCCAACCGCACAGCCGCCCGCGACCAAGAGGCCGCCTCGCCGCCCCGATCAAATCCTCACTGACACGCTCGTCGGATGTCGGCAGGGCAACTAGCTGGTCCGTGCGCGCCGCGGCTCCCTTTGCCGGCCGTCTCCTTCTTCAACGCCCGCAAGTTGTTCGACAGTTTGCCAAGGTACGAAAATGGACTCCGCGGATGAGTTCTTTTCCCATAATTTCCTTTGCGACTTCGACGATTCGTCGTCTGACGAGGAGGAGGAGATATTGGCTGCCGTGTTGGTCCATCACCACCTCAACAGCCAACGGCCGTTGTTTCGTGGCTCCATTCCGGGCCACCTTCCGGCGTTGAATTGCAACCGAGAGAGCGGACATTTCCTTCTTTGGAAGGACTATTTTGATACAACAAATCCGTTGTTCAAATATCAAAAATTCCGCCGCCGTTTCCGTATGAGTAGGCATCTTTTCAACCGTATTAGAGAGGGGGTGGTCTGCTCTGATGACTATGTCGAGTGCAAAGAGGATGCCGTCGGCAAGATCGGTTTCTCCTCTTATCAGAAATGCACTGCCGCCATACGAATGCTTGCATACGGAGTGCCCGGTGATCTCATTGACAAGTACGTCCGTATGAATGAGTCTACATGCCTAGAGTCCCTGTATAAGTTCTGCAAGGCTGTTATTGCAGAACTGTCCGGTGATCTCATTGACAAGTACGTCCGTACGAGCATGTCCGAAGTTTACACCATATTCTACATATGTAAGTAATTACCAGCATGAGGCAGAAATAAATTAACTCTGCATTTTACCATTTCTACCACCGTCCTTCCAAAATATAAGGCAGAAGAAATGATGATGATTCTTATTTGCTTCGTTATGAACCACCCCAGTGCATATTCAATTTTATCGCACGCCTCGTTTCCCACAAAAATTGTTCCGCTTTGAACGTGTTGTTAGTTACTACGACACGTCACATTTATCGCTCGACTAAAGAACCACCAGAGACAATTACGGTCATGCGATGCACATCCGACGGCTTCTGAATCGTCGAGCGCTGTCCCTAAAATTGGCACGTCGGTCAATTAATAACTTTTTTTAAAGTCAATTAATAACTTTTGAGAAGGTTAGTCAGTGGAGAATGTCCAATTTGTCATGCTAGAGTAGATGACTCGAAGCACGCCTTGTTCGGATGTTTTTTTTTAGGGGTAAAACACGCTTTATTGATTATAAGCCACAGTTTGTGGGATACAGTTTGCATGGGGGTGAACAAGCCAAATATGGCGCCCCCGCTGAAGAGAAAGCGAAGATCTAGCTATAGTATGAGCATCACCATTCGATGCACGGCTCTCAAAAACAAAGGTA